CCCGCCTGCCCTCCGGCCGCTCCCGAGGCCCTCGCGACTTCGCAACTTTGAAAAGTTCCAGAGCCCGGGCGGGCGGGGCGGGGTGGGGTGGCGGCCGCACTTATTTGGGGGTGGTCAGAGCCCAGGGGACGGTGGCCGGGGGCCGGGCTGGGGCTGAGGACCGATTTTCGGGGCTGGTTGGTGGGGAGGGGGTGTTTGACGCCGGCGGGCCGAGGGTGGGCGTCAGGCCGGGCCCCGGGGGCGCCCTCCGATCGGTCCCGGGCCCCGAGGCGGCGGGGCGGGGTCCGGGCTTCGCGGCGGTCGCCCCCACCTCTCTCCGGCCGGGAAGAGGGGGCTGGGAGACGTGGATCCGACCGCGGGTTTCCGGGTGGGAGGGGCCGGGGATGGGGGCCGGGCAGGGAAGGCCTCGAGGGCCGGCGGGGAGACCGACGTCCCCCCTCGGCCGGCTCTAATCCCCCTGTCCTCCCCTCGGCCCAGGTCCGGCAGCCATGGCGGTGGAAGGAGGAATGAAATGTGTCAAGTTCTTGCTCTACGTTCTTCTGCTGGCCTTTTGCGTGAGTGGGGAGGGGGCCGGTGCGGGCGCGCTGGCAGGGTGCGGGGAGACCTGGCTCCGGAGTGCTGAGGGCCGAGGGACCAGGAATGAAGGCAGCTGGAGACCAGATGTGGAAGGAAAGCCCAGGAACGGGCCGCAGACAGCACGGCCACCCCCCTCCTCCAGCTTTCAGGGACCTCCGAGGCTGGTTTGGTCCAGAATGGCCAGTCTGGGTGCGCAGCGCCCTCCCCCAAGCCCCTTCTGGCGCTTCCTGTCTGGTGACCCAACCTCTTGTGATAAGGGCAGTGGGGCAACCAGCCAACGCCAACGGCCTGATGCTATCGCCGCGGGGCTTCCCTGCGTTCCCCATCCTTTTCTCTCCAATCTCCCCCGTCCACCCCTCATTCCTCTCCATTCCCTCATCCCTCTTCACCCCTCCAGCTGCTCGGGGGTGGGGAAGCGCTCTGCCCACCTCACTTTGCTCCTGCCCTGGGCTCTTGGCTTGAGAGGCTGCTGTTTGTCCTGGGAGAGCACCCTACTCTTGCCCCCTTTTCCTCCTTTCTTCTCCTCGCTGGCGTCGCTGGCCTGAGGAACCCTAGTCTCAGCTGATGAGGATGGGGCAGGCCTCAGAGGATAGCGGGAGGGCAGTTCTGGGAGCCCTAGAGGGAGCACTGCTCTAGGTTAGGATCATATGCCCTGGGGTCAAGGCTTTCTGGAACTTCTCTTTTTGTATTTGATCAAACTATGGGGCAAGGATGGATCATCCCCCTCGCCCACAGTCAGAAGTTTCCTGGAAGTGTGACAATCTGTTCCCCAGGGATGGGGTTAAGTCTGTGTCCTGGGTGCACCCGCTGCCCTCCAGCATGGGGGGCTGATGGGTTGTGGGTCTGGCCTAACCCTGATGTGTCCTCTGCGCAGGCCTGTGCAGTGGGACTGATCGTTGTGGGTGTAATGGCTCAGATCATCTTGAATCAGGCCAATATCCAGGATGCCACCCCTGGCTGTCTGGTGCCTGTGGTCATCATCGCAGTGGGTGCCTTCCTCTTCCTGGTGGCCTTTGTGGGCTGCTGTGGGGCCTGCAAGGAGAACTACTGTCTTATGATCACAGTGAGTGGGTTATGGGGCTGGCGTGGCTGCCTGGGATTGCTGGAGGGCATTTCTATGGAGGGGGCTCACGAGGGTGGGTGAAGTGAGGTGGGTGGGTGAGGAAAACCTTTGTGAGTGTTCCAGAGACTGGTTGGGCCACAGCACGCCCCTCTCACCCAGACTCCAAACCTGATTCCCGCCCTTTGCGCCTGTAGTTTGCCATCTTCCTGTCTCTTATCACGCTGGTGGAGGTGGCTGCAGCCATTGCTGGCTATGTCTTTAGAGAGCAGGTAAGTGGGGACTGAGGGGAGGACCCTGCCCCACAGGCCTGGCTGCTCTGGGGCCCAGGTGCTCAGAGTTCTGACCTGAACAGTGCTCCTCCCTACTGCCAGGTGATGTCAGAATTTAATAAGAAGTTCAAGCAGCAGATGCAGAGTTATCCGCACGACAACCAAACGGCTTTAGTCCTGGACAAGTTGCAGGAGGAAGTGAGTGGGGTTGCTGGGAGCAGGGGTAGTGGGGGAAGAAGAGTCTCATCTCCATATTGAAGGTGGAGGTCCACTCAACAGCCTTCTTCCCCATCTCTCTCCTCTCCTTCAGTTTAAGTGCTGCGGGGCGGTTAATTACACTGAGTGGGAGATCATCCCTCTCAAGGTCAACGGCTCAGTCCCTGACTCCTGCTGTGTCAATGTCACTCAGGGCTGCGGGACTAAGCCCACCGAGAAGAGTATCCATACCGAGGTAGGGAGGAGGCTGAGACAGCAGGGGATTTGGGGAACCTGGTGAGAGGGACCAGGGGTGGAGTTGGAGAGGGCTGGGGCTCTGGAAGTTGTGGTCAGGGTTGGGGAGGGGATCTAGGCATGCTGGGGGTGGGGTGAAAGGTACAGAGGGAGGTGGGTGGGAAGTTTCTGATGGTATTCTTGCCTTGTGTGCCTGTCACCCTTCAGGGCTGTGTGGAGAAGATTGGAGGCTGGCTGAGGAAAAATGTGCTGGTGGTGGCTGCAGCAGCCCTGGGTATTGCCTTTGTGGAGGTGAGAGGCGCCCTTGGGACTCAGTCCAGGGCATCTGGGTGGGAGGGGCAGCGGGGAGGAGGGTGCTGAGCAGGAGGTACTGGCCTGGGGAGGGGAGCCCTGGTTGTGTTTGGGGTCTCTTGGGCGGGTCCTGGGTTCCTCACCCTTCTGACCGCTCTCCACCCCCCCTCTATCTTTCCCTCTAGGTCCTGGGAATCGTCTTTGCCTGCTGCCTCGTGAAGAGTATCCGAAGTGGCTATGAGGTGATGTAGGGGGTCTGGTCTCTTCAGCCCCCTCATCTAGGGGAATGGAGTCCTATACTCCAGGTTTTTCAATTAAACGGATTATTTTTCCAGACCGAGAAGAGAGGGAGTCTCAGTTTGTCTTCAGGAGTGATACTTCATCCCTTTTCTCTCCTCATCCATGTTCCCGTCCTCTGGGACCTTGTTCTGTTTGCGCCCCTGGGAAAGGGGGCCTATTTTGGGGGGTGTTGGGAAAGGAGGACTTTGCTGAAGGCGTTTGTTGGGCTGGCAGTGGAAGCGGGGATCTGGAGGCCGTGGCCCCCTGCCCTCCCTGTCTCCTAGTCGTGTGCTGCCAGGCTCAGTGCTGAAGCGTTCCTGAAGCCATCTCCTGCAGAAGTCAAAGGGACTCCCCACAAAGGTCCTCCATGGGAAGAGACCTGCCCACGTCTATCGTGGACATCTTCTCCTTGGTCCTCTGCCCACTTCAGAGGGCCCAGCAACTCCCTCCTGCACCCAGCAGGCCTGGCTCCTTTCAGGGTGACCTGTGTGGCCAGTGTCCATCTGTCTTGACTTTGATTAGATGATAGAATTTAGTGGGTATTGTGTTTCTTCCATGGAAACCACCCACCCTGGCCCTTACCCCTTTTCACCACCTTCCCTCCTGCCTTCAAGAAAAACAGATAATGACCATTTCCACTCCAAACACTGAATTGTGACCTTATTCCATAGAAAATAAAGGAAACGTCCAACAGTGCCCTCTGGTGGCCATTCCTCCAGGTGCAGCTTCAAAGATGTGATAGTCCCCTTGCGCCCCCCAGTGGGTTCTAGGTGTTTTGCAGGCACTAAACAGGCCAGAGACCCTGGGCAGTAAGTCAGCCGAAGGTAGTTAGCACTTAAATGGGGTCAGTTTCCCACTGGGCACTTCCATTTCTACCCACCTACGGTGTTTTTTAATACTCAATAACATTTATTGAATTTATTGAGTTCCTGTTTTGTGCCAGGCACCCGGCAGTACCAGGGTGGGGATAGAAATAAATCAGTCTTTGTCCTGGAAGAAAAACGTCTTGCCGGAGGGCTGGACTCAGTAGACGGCATGGGCAGGCTTGGGAAGGACCCAGGTGAGCACAGCATCCACCAGGCTGGCTGGGAGGTAGGAGGCTGGCAGCCAGAGCAGCTTGGCGTCCCAGCCTGGGCTGTAGCGGGTCCTGGGGTGACGAGCAGTCAGGGCATGCTCCAGGCACTTGCTCACCTTGGTCAGGTCCGGGTCACAGATCAGGTTCATGATGCGCTGCTGTACTTTCAGGTCTGCAGCCCAGAGGGTGTTATAATCAGTGTCCCTCTCCCACTCCAGCCCATGTCAGGCCCTGTCTTCTGGGTCCTGGGGCTGGTGGCCCAGTAGAGGTGAGAAGGATCCTTAGTCCCCTCCCCAGGTTGGGAGTAGGCAGGTCGCACACGGCCTGCTGTCCTGTGGCATCCCGTCACCCTCACCCCTCCTACCTCCTCCCAGCGGCTGGTGCAAGACCGGCCTTTCTGGCTCTCATTTCCCTTCATTCGTCCCTACGTGGGCTACTCACACTTGGTGAGGAAGGCCTCACCATAGTGGGCCCTTGTGGCTGGAGGGAGCCGTGCCCAGCAGGCCTGCAGGGCGTCCTCCAGACTCTCCAGGTTTGTCACAGGGGTTTGGAAGAAGCCAGGCTCCACGATGGAGACTCGGACGCCAAAAGAAGCCACATCCCGCCTGCAGTGGGGGCAGAGGGAGGCTTCTTGGTTCTTGCCCTTCTAGAGAGAAGATCTTTAGGGACCTGGGTGGGGGTGCTGAGATGGGGAAGTTATCACAGACCAGGGACAGGGATCCTGACAGGGAGATCCCTGCTGCCCTGGGGTGAGGGGGGTGTGGGGCACAGGGAGGGAGGTATTCTTAAAAGTTTGTTTTCCTTTATATCCTGTGATCTAGAGCAGGGATGGCAAACTTCTTAAAGGGCCATTGCAGACCTAAAAATTAATGATGTTATGTAGGTACTTAAAATGTAAAAAGCAGTATTAGCTGTAGGCAGCTGGCCACATCTGGTCTGAGAACAAGTTGGCCAACTCCTGACCTAGAAGAACCCCATTCCATAGATCCCAAACACAGCGTTGAGTCCTGAGTGCTGGATATGAAGGGTGTAGACTTGGTATTTGCTGGGGGCAAAGTGGGGCCACCTCCAGCTGTCCTGGCACAGATGCAGAAATCCCAGCATGTGTTCGATGATGCTGACTGGAAAATTAAAAGACTGAGGGAGGGGGATGAACGTAGGTATTGAAATTATTTGCTGAGTGATGGTGACGAAGGCAGGCTTCCTTCAGAATGCAGGCTCAGGGCCGGCCCTGTGGCTTAGCAGTTAAGTGCACGCGCTCCGCTGCTGGCTGCCCAGGTTCAGATCCCGGGCGCGCACCGACGCACTGCTTCTCCGGCCATGCTGAGGCCGCGTCCCACATACAGCAACTAGAAGGATGTGTAGTTATGACACACAACTATCTACTGGGGCTTTGGGGTAAAAAAAATAAAAAAAAAAAGAATGCAGGCTCAGCCCAGGGGACTTGTACTCTTGCTCAAAACTCAGGCCCTGCTCCCGTGCTGTCCTCGTGCTTCTTGGTGCTCTCACGGGGCTTTGAACATGAGAACACTGTCTAAAGATGAGGGCAGGAGAAGATACCGAGCTGCTGCCACAGGCACGCAGACCCGGGGCCAGTCCCAGCGCTTCCACCAACTGGTCGTGTGGTCTTGAGTAAGTCATGTTACTCTAAGGGTACTAATACCTATCCTTATCTCTAAGGGTATTAATACCTGTCCTCATAGGGTTGTTGGGAGAATTAAATGAGAAAATGGTATGTAAAGGTACCAGCTCATCACAAGTAGTAGTTGTTAATAATGATGATAGCAGGCTTTTTGGGAGCATTTTCCCTCTGCCAGGCAGCACTGTTGGGGCCTTACATCTACCTCATTTCACTCCCAACACCTCTGAGGCAGGTCTCCTCACCCCGACTGAACAGATGAGGAATGAACTGGGGTGAAGAGAAGTAACCTATTACGGTCACAAAGCTCGCATGAGAGAAGGCTGGGATCTGGGCCCATGCGGCCGAGCCGTCACTGGCTCCTCAAGGATTCCACTGCGCGGTGCTGTAATCATCTCTGCAGGGCAGACACTGCTTTGGCGAGTGGGAGCCGGGGCCCATACCCCTCACCTCAGGCTGTCCGAGAAGGCCTCCAGGCCAAACTTGGAGACACAGTAGCCCCCACCATTGGCTGCCAGGCGACCCAGGACACTGGTGATGTTGATCACTCGGCCCCGGGCCTGCTGCAACAGGGGCAGAAGGGCGAGTGTGACCCCGATGGGCCCCAGTGTGTTCACATCCAGCACCCGATGGAAATCATCCCGCGTCAGCCATGGTGTTGGCCCAATGACACCAGCCACACCAGCATTATTCACAAGACCAAAAAGCCCTGTGGGGAGAGGAGACAGATGCTGGGAGCAGGTGAGGCAGTCCAACGGCCCCCTCCTTCCCAGGGGGTCTGAGCACTGCTCCTTCCCCACAGTCCCTCTGGCTTCCCGCAGCCCTGGAAGTGCACGGCCTACACCGTGTTCCTGGTGGCCCAGCCATACTCACCTGCGTCCCCGACACATGTCTCCACCCACTTGGCTGCCCGCTGGACACTCTGGGGGTCAGTGACATCCAGCAGGGTGGTGTGCAGGCGGGAGGAGGCCACCCGCTGTAGGTCCTCTGCCCCTGAGGGGGTCAGGCAGCTGGCCAGGACTCGGAAGCCTTTCTGGTCCAGTCTCAGTGCCAGGAGCCGCCCGAAGCCTGAGTCACAGCCCGTGATGAAGACGAAGGCATCGCTGGCGGGCAGGCTCTGCCGGTCCCTGAGCAGCCACAGTGCCGCCCAGAGCAAGGCTCCCAGCAACAGAGGCAGCCACATGGCCGGAGCCCAAGTGACCTGCAGGTGGCAGCTGAGGCCGGGCAGGAAGACTTGTCTAGTCTACTCTGGCCCTCAAGCCTTTGCCCCTAATGTCCCCCCAGCTGGAAGTCTCAGGTCCGAGCAGATTGAGAAATTATTTGCTTGGCAGATAATTGGCAAACTGCGGCTCATCTAAGCAAAGCAAAGGTGTGGGCGGACCCTACATTTGTAGCTAACTTAGCGAAAACCACGAGCCAGGCCCTGTGTGCAGACGTGCTGCATGGGAGCAGACGGATCTTGTTTGCCATCTTTGCTCCTGCTAAACTAGGGACACCTGAACTCTGTCAGCCAGGGCTTGTTTTTGGAGACACATACGAGACAAAGAGCCCTGCATTTTAGTCCTTGTGGCCCCCAACCTGCTGTGACGCTGAGCATCTCAGTGCATCTCTGAACCTGTCTTCTCATCTACCAAGTGTGGCTAACACCCACCACGCCCACCTGGGAGTTGGGGAGGACCAAAGGGGTTAATATGTGAGGAAGCATGTTAACAGCTTAAAGCTCTGAGTTATCAAATACTTGCTAGTCTTGTAGTGGCACCCCGCCCCCAGCACCCTGCTTACCTCCTCTGGGGAAAGCTGGCAGCTACTATAAGGCCTGAAACAACTTCTTTTGCTTTGTTTGCGAGACGCTGCTCCCAGTCTTTCAAGCTCCCACACTAGCTACAGCTAAGGCCCAAGTCCACAGCGGGCGGCCCGGATGCCAGAAGTATTAAGTGTGGGTGGGGGAGGGCTTGGGGGAGGGGCCAGGGCTGCTGGGGCTTGGCCCAGGCCAGCGTGCCCAGGCCCTCTTCTTGGCTGTCTTTTTCCCGCCGGGGTTCCTGACCACCTCTGTCACAGACTTCCAGGAGGAGGCGTCTGTCAAGGATGGCAGCTGCCCCTCTGTTGGTGACCTTGGACCTGTCATTCCTCCCCCTTCTCAGCCCCGAAGTGCCCCCACGCCCAAGACTTAATCTCCCACCTGGTCCAGACTCATGACACTGCTTAGCACCAGGCTGGGAGAGGCCACGAGCACGTGGAGAGGCAGAGAGCCAGAGCTGGGACCAGGCCTGCCCTCTGTCTTATTTCTCCTCTCAGGAAACTGAAGGCCTGAGTTAGGAAGCTTGCAACAGGGCCCACTGACCTTCACAGTTTCCCACCTGCTTCCTCGACAGGCACCTGCACCAGGCCCCAGGAGGAACAGCAAGCTGGGATGGTAAGAGGAAGCTGGTTCCACTCTCTATCCAAAAGGTGTCTGTCCCTCAGGGAAAGAGACCTTGAACTTTCCACCCACCCCCACGCGGAGCTAGTAGCTCCTTGCAATGAACCACAGGAAGTGGAGGCTTGTGTTTTATTCATGGCCTGTCAGCCTCCCTCCTGCCCCGTGGGGAGGCAGGAGGGGTAGGGGAGAGGGTGAGGGGAGAGGGGCTAGGAGGAGGCAGATTGCAGCTGCCCCTTATAGACGTATTCCAGTGCGGTGGCAATGGTGCGCATGTCCAGTTCGATGCTCCGAGCCCAGTTCTCCACATCCCCAATTTCCTGGGAGGGGAAAGGGGTGGAAACCCAGCAATCAGGGTGGGGAGAGTGTGGTCCCAGGCGATGAGTGGGGGCACTTTCCACCCATCCCCTAGAAAGGGCTTAGCTTGGACCCACCAAGTGCTTTTACCTGTTTTTCTAGCTTCTCTGACACTGGGGCCATAGATGGGGTTTCTGGGACCATCCCCACTTCCTCCTTAACCCCAGACCTGAGGTGACCCGACTGGAGGCAACAATGGAGGCCCAGGATGGGGCTGGCGATGTAGGGAGTGGGGCCTACCTTGAGTGCCTGGTTGAAGTTCTCCACCATCCCGATCCACTGGCCTGTCTGCTTGGCAAACTGGGCAGCCTGGATCTGTAGGGTCTTCACCTCATGGTCCAGCTTTCTCTGGTTCACGTAGGCCTGGGCCACACTAGAGGTTGGAGGACGGAGGAGGTCAACTCACCCAACTGGTGGGGAGTGGTCTCCAAGACTACTATCCCAACGCAAGCGTGGGAGGCCAGCCAGCAGTCAGGCTGAGAAAACCTCGTGAGTTTGGCCATTCTTGGATGTGACGCAAATGAATATCAGAACATGTAAATGAGCCCAGTTCCTTCCTCCCAAGCCCAGGATTCCCAGGACAGCCTAGCTGGGAGTTAAACAAAAACATACCATCTCCTACCCCCAAAGGGGTCCCTGGAGCTGGGTGGGGGAAGGGAAGGTTAACCTGGGGGGACATCCCTCAGGAGGAAGCTGGGTGGGAAAAGGGGGCGTGGGGAAGCTGGGAAAATCCAGCAGCAGGGAAACATCTGGCAGTGATTGGAAGCCCAGAGATCTGTGCAAGAAGTTGGGAAGCGAAATTGGGCCCCTCCCTGAATCTGGGGTGGGATGCAAGAGCAACCCCCCCCCCCGGAACTCCGGGTCAAGAGAAGATCTCCCAGGGGCTGCCCGGCTCTCAGTCTCTCTCCCAACCCTTCTCCTTTCGCCCACACAGAGGAGTGAACACACACACACTCGCTCCCCCTTCCTTCTGCTCTAGGCAACAGTTTTCTTTTCTCTTCAATCACAGTTGGCTGTAGTCACCATTCCTGCCATGAGGTTGGTGTCCCCAACACTCTGCCCACTCCCTCCCACCCCCACCCCCCGCAATAACTGCGCAATAATTGTTCTCCTTTTATTGGCTGGTGAATCTTTCACTCCCCACCCCAAAGCTCTAGGTCAGCCGGGAGACTCCACATCCGGGGCCCCCACCCACTGGAATCTGTGGGGGCTGGAGGGGCAAAGAGTTGGGGGGGTCGAGAGAGTGGGAAGGACACCTGACAGGGGCTGGGATAGATGGGGCCTTTGTTTTCCTTTCCAGGGAATGAGAGGAGCTGTGGGCAGCGACACAAAACCCTTTCTAATCTGGCTTTGGCTTAGCTGCCCTCTAAGCTGAAAGTGGGGTGGCCTCTAGCAAAGGAAGAGAAGAGGGAGAGGCCTGGGCCAGCCTCACAGCACAGCCCAGCAGGCGCCACTGGGGGAGGGAGGAAAGAGGGCAGACCGTGTCCCTTCTCTTTGGGAGACAGCTGGGCCACGGGAAGGAGCTCAGACAGTCATAGCAGGGGGCTCCCAATGCTTCGAGAGATTCCCCTGGGAGGCCCTAAAATCCCAGTTTTTCCTGTTGCCCCTCTGCCTTCTATTATTCACCCCGAGTGAAGGGAGAGGCCTGGAGGGGAGGGAGACCAGAGGCCCCAACCACAGCCTTCTCTTCCCCTAATCTTCCCCAGAGATGAGTAATGAAGATGACAGCCCCCTGGGTGACTCAGTCTCTGGATTCACAAGGAGGCTATTCTACTTGCCCTGTGGTGGAGGCATTATACTGCCTCCTTTCTTCCAACTGTCGGCCTATCAAGTCATCGTCTCTGCACTCTCTGGGTCACTCGGGGTCAAGAGACAATAGTCTTTGCTCCTTCCCAAGGTGGTTGGGAACCACCCTTGGTGGTTACTGGCACTCTCATTTAGGGCTGGAGCAGGGGGTGGTCTCTGGAGACCCAGAAGGAAGGGAAGAGACAGCCTGGCTCTGCTGTAGCTCCTGGCAGAGGTTCTGCCCTCACCCTCACCAACTGTGCCATCTCTTTCCTGCCAGCTGCTCCCTGGGCCTGCCAAAGGGTGGGAGGTGGAGAAGGAGAGGGTGGTAAGCTGTGGTGAAGGAGGGCGCTCTCCCTCCCACTGAAGTGACAGCTGGACTCGGAGCGGTGAAGGGAGGTGGGCAGATGGCATCAAGTTGTGAGCACCAGAGAAGTTACTGCGGGGAGGGAGCGGGGGAATCTGGCTGCTACCCCAGCCAATGCAGCTGCTCCTCCCTGCCCAATGTTAGGGTCAGGGCTGACCGAGCCTCTCTCCATAAAGCTAAGCTGGGGGGAGGTGGAGGGGGATGACTGGAACATCTCATCGCCTCAAGAGCAGTCTGAGGGCTGGACCTTGCCCGTGCCTTAACTTGGGGGGTCGGGGCGGGAGGTGGTGTTGACGGGAAGAAGTTCCTACCCCACATTGAGGTGATCCACCAAGGCTTCCGTCAGGCAGGTCGCCGCAGTGATAGCCTCTCGCCTCCTCTTCTCTGGGGGAGGGGAGAAAAGGGATTGGAGCAGAGACTTTGTTTTCTGAGGGGTGTTGCCTAAGGTTCCCACTCGTTCATTACTATTCCGCTAGTTGCAGGAACATCTCAACTGATCTCCGAGTGCCACAGCTGAAAAGGGTTTTGCAAAATATAAAGGGAGCCCTTTCACTTTAGAGGGGAGGACCCTGGGACCCTGAGAGGGGAGGCTACTTGCCCAGGGACGCTAACGAGGCAGTGGCAGCACCGACTCCAGACTCCCGGGCACTCTTTTCTCACTATCGCGGACTAAGGGTTGGCAGCTCCGGGGTTCCCAGGCCGGACTCAGGAAACCAGGGCCCCACCCCCGTTTCGGTGGTTTCAGGCCTCCAAGAATCCCATCTCTGTCCGGTCCCCAACACCCTCCTCCCCTCAGGAGCGTCCCTTCCCCCCCAGGATGAGAGGCTCCCTGGACCAATCGGCACAGCGTCCCACGAGCAGGGGCGGGACTAAGACGCCAGACACCGAGCGTGGGGACCTCACCGAGGGGGACACGAGTCTTGCCAAAGGGGCCAAAGCCCGTTGGCCAAGAAACGGAATCTCCAAAAAGGCTCCCCAGTTCCCTCTCCCCACGCCCGTGCCCCACAGCCCGCGCCCTTCGCCGGCTCCGGGCCGTTACTCGAGGTCCCGGCGCCGGCTGCCGCTAGGCCGCGGCGGCGGAGGGGACGGCCGGCTCACCCTGCAGCTCTTTGCGCTCGTTCTGCTTGGCCTGGTGTTCCTTCAGCAGCCGGGACAGCATGGTAACGTCGGTCTGGAGCTGGGCCGCCCGGCCCCTCCCGCTCCGGAGCTGGGCCGCGCTCCCCAGCTCCCGCGGGGCCCGGGTCACGTGACCGCAGTGTCACGTGAGGCCGGGGACCGCCCCCTTTCCGAGACGCCGGGCGGTAGGTGGTGGCGCTCCCGGCTAGGGAGGGAATAGCAGAGGGCTGGGGGCAGGTGAGCTCTTGTCTGTATTGGGGCTCGCTTTTCGGTGAGTGTTGGAAGGACTTTCTTTAGTACCCATATGGCAGAGCCAGGTTGAACATCTCCTCTGGGTCTCAGGCTCCCAGGAGGGTTGGTGTTGCCAGGCTGTCCATCACGCTGCGGTTGGTGCGGGAGCAGAGGCTTCCTGGACTCATTGGAATTCTTTTCCTTCCCTCGCCTTTCCCTCCTGGCAGCTCTGGCCTGTTCTCAGTTGATTTTCAGCTCCCTCCTTCGGGGAGGGAAAGCCTTTCTCTCTTTTCCAGCCCTCTCTCTTCTCGCCTTCCCGCCAAGGTCCCTCCGCTCTGGGTGATCATTGTTGAGAAGAAGCATTTTAGGCACTTCAAGCGGCCTCCTAGATAGCTTTGCTAATTTGGCTGACTGTGTGTGGTGAATGTACAATTCCATCTCTGTCCTTTTGTGGTCAGGGAATGCGAACCCATTTCAGTCTTACCAGAAGAGCAAGTGCCGCTGCCAAAGTAAAAGGTAAATTATATAACCCCTCTCTGAACGAAAGAAAAATGCTTCTGGGATTAACTCCAACAAGGAAAAAATTATAAACATCATCAACATATTTTTGCTATTGCGACAACTCTCTGGTGCACCACGCACTAACATGCTGGGTGACTTTGGGCAAGTTGCTTACCCATTCTGGATTTTGGTTTTCTCCTTAGGAGAATAAGGGATTGGATTAAATCAGTGGTTCTCAACCCTGGCTAAACCTTAGAATTATCTGGGGAAGTTTTAAAAAACGCCTTGGCCCCAGACTAATTAGATCTCTGAGGGGTGGAGCCCAGGCATAAGTATTTTTTAAAAAGTTGTCCAGGTGAATCTGATGTGCATCTGAGGTTGAGAATTACTGGACTAAACCATAAGTAAGGCTATTTCCAACTTTGGCATTCTCTCATTTTGTGATTCAGCTGCATAGGTGAAAACTGATTTCATTGTGTAGGGGGAGGAGAAATGGGTGCTGGTTGAGTTAGAATAAAACATTCTTGAATTTTCTGAGAAAGAGTTGTGGATAACTGATGGATTCATTCAGCTCTCTACAGAGTAGCATCATAAATCCTGGGAGATGTGCAACCATCAGAGGATTAATGAGTGAAATGGTTGAGTGGCAGCATAAAGCAGAACGTTAAGTGCCAAAATAAAGATTCTGAATAAAAATGTTGTATACTGTGTACGTATGTGTCTATGCTTGTGTGTGTATTATAACTTCTTTTTCCAATATTTCCTGAGTACTTACCATGGGCCAAGCACTTTACATGTATTAATCCTTTTAATCCCTCGAATTTTTAATCCCATCAGAATCCTCTGATGTATTATTATTGTCATCCCCAATTTGTAGATGAAGAATCTGAGGTGCAGAGCGTTAAGTAATAGAGCTCATAAGTGGTAGAGCTGGGATACAAAGCCAGGCCATCTGACTCCAGAGCCTGAGTGTAACCACTGTACTATACTGCAGAGACCGTGGGAGGGACCCCAGGAGAGGAGCCCTGTCTCTTGTCGCTGTGCCCTTCCAGCTTGTGGGGCATCAGTTGATGGGAATCCTGGCAGGGGAGGAGTGTTTGGGAAGAGGCTTCGCTCCAGAGAGGGGATGATCAATAGAAGCGAGAAGAGTGAGAGCATCGCAGGGCAGCCTGGCCCAGTCCCCACCCCACTAGCTCCAGCTTCCAACTGCAGTGAGCAAGCAGAATAGAGGCAGATTGGAAGATGCCTGGTGCCTCACTCCCAGAGCTGTGGGGCCTGGGAGAGAAGGGCGGGGTTGGAAGTGGTGCCAGAGGATAGTGACTTGAGGGATGTGAAACAGAGGGCAGGGGCTAATGAGGGGGGTTGGTGTTGGGGGTTTCTGCTGTGAGCCTGTGAATGTTAAGATCAGGCTGATTCAGGGAGACTGTCAGGCCCATCTTGTGTTACCCTCACCCCCTTGGCACAGCCACCTGACATTTTCACAATCAGTATAGAGATGCCAGGAGGCTGCAGACATCAGCTCCACCCTCTTCTCCCACACGCTGGCTATTCCTTTGCCCTAGAGCTGGGCAGAGGACGTGGGAACCTGTATCTGGGGACGCCAGCTGGTCTCTCCAGAGTCATCCTCCATCTGCTCCTTTTCTGGGCCCTTGTTGCTCTCTGTCTAACCTCAGTTTCTGCTGCGGTTGAAGCTCAGCTCCACCTGCCTCTGGTAGAGACCGACACAGCTGCATGCATATCTGGAGAATGACTCTTGAAATTTGAAATCTCTTTCTGCCCGCTTCTCTTTACAATTTCCCACCCAGATTATTCTTCCTTTGAATGAATACAACTCCACGCTCCTTTTCTCCACTTATTTCCCTGTTCTTTTGAGGTCTCTTTCAGAGTTAGCTTTAATTACCAAGCTCCAAATTGATTGGCTAGGCCGAACATTAGGGCCGGAAGCTGCTGAGTTAGAGGTTGGGTGAGGACTGAGGGAGGATGTGGAGTGAGTGGAGAAGGCTTCTCACACAGGGAAATCTGGCTGGACTTCAAGAGGGGGGGCCATTGGTGGTGTGGCCAAGTTCTAAATGTTGGCCTGAAGCCAGTGCTCAAAGAAAAGGGGCCCTCAAGACAGTTTAAATGGTTCCCTGTGGGAAGTGACCTCTCAGTCCTTCTCCCCAAGATGCAAAGGTTTCCCTTGGATCCTCAGAGACCAGAGCAGTCAAGTCATTTCCCCAATGTCTCCTCTCAATCACGTCTATATTCTTTCTTTCCCAGCCACTCCCATAGTTCGAGCTTTGGCTACAGCCAGAATTCAGAGACAGGCAGGAGGATTCCAGTGCTGGAGAGGTGGGTGGGGTGAGAAAGTCCTCATGTTGTGTGTGTTGGGGAGGAAGAGGCTGACCCTGGGACATATGCTCCAAGGTTCTGCTGCCAGATGAGGTGGAGGGAGAAGTTAATGCTGCAGTGTGTGTTCTGGAAGCGTTTGCTTGTAAGCTAGAGACAGCAGCTGGAAAATGTGTGCTCTGGGGGAGCTGAAAAATAGGGCTCCCAGATGGAGGGGAAGAAGGTTGTTGGAGGGGGAAGGGGCTGGAGAAAGCCTTGACTTCCACTCAGACAAGGGCCAAAGTCTTTGCTGGGTTTGGACATTTATCAGTTTTTAAAATGTTTTGAAATTATTTTGAAATAGTTATAGACTCAGGAAGTTGCAAAAATAGTACATGAAGTCCTGTGTACCCTTCACCCAGCTTCCCCCAGTGGTGACAGCTTGTAGAACTGTAGCACAATATTAAAACCAGGAAGGTGACAGAGGTACAGCACTGTTAACTAGCCTACAGGCCTTATTCAATTTTCACCATTGTTTTACATGCATTCATTTGTGTGTGTGTGTGTATGTGTGTGCGTGTGTGCGTAGCTCTATGCAGTTTTTTCCCATGTATAGATTCAAATAACCACCACCAAAATCAAGACACAGAGCTCTTCATGACCACGGAGGAACTCCCTGTGCTGTCCTTTACACTCACACCCCCCCATCCTTGTCCCCTGGCAATCACTAATCTGTTCTTCTTCTCTATAGTTTTGTCACTTTGAGAATGTTATGTGAGTGGAATTGTACAGTATCAGCATTGGCTTTAATTTAATAAATTCCCAAACTCTTGATTCGAATACAAGAAGTTCTCTGGCAGGTCGTTTATTCTAATGATGAGCTTCCTCCATTCTCTGGATTGCTCTAGCTTCTTCGTTCCCCCCTTCACCTACAGTATTTCTCTCCACCCCAACAACCTGGTCTCACTTCTCTTTCAGGGAAAAATCTATGTGTCTAAACTTACTAGGCTGGTCTAGGGCTCTTGCACGTTCCCTGCCCCCCTTGCCCCACTATTTATAGCCTGGCTAATTTTGGGCAGCCTCTCTCTCTCTTCTTTCCTGCTCCTTCCTCCTGTGGCGGGTGAGGTGACTTCTCAAATATTTGGGCAGAGGAGGTCAGGAGCAGATTCTTGGCATCTGATTTCAGCCTTGGATTTAGCAGGAGCCAGTGGAGTGGAGATGGAGGGAGGCAGAAGCTGCAGGTGCAGAGAGGAAGGCAGCTGGGGCTCTAAAGGCGTTTTGGCTCTGGGTGGAGGTCTGGGCTGAGAATGAGGAGTCCCAACTTCTATCCTAATTTTACTACTTTGTTCTCATACAGCTCTTCTCTATTGTCTGGGGCTGGGAGATAGGAAAGGGATGGAGAAGGCATATCTGCGGGATAACAGAAGTAGGATTCTGGTGCCAGGCTGCTGGCAGCACATGTATTTCTTTGATCACACCTGATTAGAGGGGCTCTAGGCCCCGGGAGGGGATGTCTACAGGTGTAGCGTTGCAGGAGGGAGGCCCAAACCTTCAAATGTACAGGAACTTACCCAGGGCAAGGATGGTCCCAGGGTCAGCAGAGAGAGAGCCTACCTGTTTGTTTGTTAAAGTATAATCCTGGACAAAAAAGTAAGAGAGACAAAGGAACATGGGAAGAGGAATTAGGTAGGACACATGTTGGGGCTTTTAAGAAAGGGAGGGAGAAGAGAGAGAATCTTAATATGATGGTGTTTGAGGGGCAGAGACAACGTTAGAGACATTGAGAAATAGTCTGAGAAAGACTCCTAGTGACAGAGACAAGAAGGGGAACAAAAATAGAGTTTGGGATGAGACAAAACCAGATAGTGAGAGAGAGAAGGGAAAGATGGATGGATACACACAAGACCAACGCCCAGTAAGACAGAGAACCAGGAAGAAGAGGTGGGAGCACGCGGGGGTTCCAGTTGTGCCAAATTATTTCCTATCTCTCCTCCTGGCCCCATTTCTGGATTGGAGTTATAAATAGCAGAGAGTTGGAAAATATGCCCCCTCCCTTTGTTTCTGTCTCAGCCCGGGGGGAAGGGAGAGGAAGAGGGAC